GTCCAGAGTTCAGGCCCCATGACTGGACCAAAAAAACAAAGAAAAGAAAAGACAATCCAAGCAAGTGAAAAGAAAAACCTTTGCAAGTTATTAAATGAAGGACTAATATCAAAATATACAATGAAGCTGAGTGCCTAGCTACTCAGGAGGCTGAGGTCTGAGGATCACAGTTCAAAGCCAGCCTAGGCAAAAAAGTCTGTGAGACTCTTATCTCCAGTTAACAACCAGAAAACCAGAAGTGGTACTGTGGCTCAAGTGGTCAAAAGCTCGCCTTAAGCTGAAGAGTTCAGGGACAGCGCTCACAGTTCAAGCCACATACTGACCAAAAAAAAAAAAAAACTTTATTTATATTTTCACTTGTGTGTGTGCATGCTGGTGCTGGTGGCTCATGCCTATAATCACGAGCCTTGAGGAATAAAAAAGAAGTATAAGGACAGTACCTAAGTCCCTGAGTTCAAGCCCCAGGACCCGCACAAAAAAAAAAAATGCTGGCTTCAAATGGCAAGTCTCAGATCTCTCCTCCTGAGTAACCAAGTCTATAGGCATAAGCCACCAGTTTCGGGTGAAAGTTCAATTGTATAATGTTCTTGAAATGACAAGCCTACAGATATAGACCAATTAGAGGTAGACAGTGAAACGTGAAGAGAAAAGGCTACAGACATAGACGTGTAGCTCAAAAGACCTTTATGATGAATTTTCTTGATATCTTACTTATAGTGACACATATGCAAACCTGCACACATGATAGAAATATGTAAAATTAAATACATAGAAAATAACACACGCCTGTAAAACTGGTAAGATGTGGTAAAGCTAAGTGATAACATCAATGTTATAATCCTCTGTGCTATCACACTATAGTTATAAAAGACACTATCTGAAGCAAGCATATGAGTCTTTCTGAATTATTTCTCACAATGGTAAATTCAAAAAACAAGCAGGCAATTTCTTTTAGACTTATAATTTGAACAGAGAAAGAAGACCATTAATACCTTCTTCTATGGACTTAGTAAAGTTGCACAAAAGTGATGACAATCCCTTCAGACATCCAGCCACAACAGGAAGTTTGGGTTCTCGTACTGTAGATGTCATCTAAAAGCAAATTATTAGGAAGATATTGCTCAATGAAAAAAAAAACAGTCTATGGCAGTAAAAATCATAAAGTTTATCATACCTGGGTCTTAAGTTCACCCAGAAAAGCCCGGAACAAGTTTTCTGAATAAGTTATCATCTCACTAGGATGTACTTCACCTAATACTCCAAGGAACTCATATATTTTTTCTAAAACTGAAAAATAAATTTTAGACAAATGAAATCCTAAAACAACAAATTATAAAAAAATGTTACATATAGAATAAGAGATGTTTAATATTAAAGTAATTTTAAAATAAAACATATCCAAGTACCAGTTGCTCACACCTGTAATAACAGCTACTTAAGAAGGCTGAAATCCGAGGATTTCACTTTGAAGTCAGCCAAGACAGACAAATAGAAGATATTCTTAACTCCAACTATCTAGCAAAAAGCCAGAGAGAGGTGTGGCTCAAGTGGTAGAGCACCAACCTTGAACAAAAAAAGCTAAAGAAAAGCATAAGGCTGAGTTGAAGCCCCAGCACTGGCACAAAAATTAATTAAAAAAAAATAAAATAAAACGGAATCTTTCCTATTGGTATAAGGAAGATATTAGTGTAAAATAATCTAAAGTATAAATATAATGTAAAAGTAATCTATAAAACAATAATCTATAAATGTAATCAAAGCATAAAATAAATTATATTTCATGTATGTTTACTTTTCTGAGTTTTGGGTTTTTTTATGCCAATCTTAGGCTTGAATTTAGGTCTTAAGTACTGTCCCTGAGCGCTTTTGCTGAAGGATAGCACTCTACCACTTGAGCCATAGCTCTATTTCCAGCTTTTTCAGACTAACTGAGATAAGTCTCATAGACTTTCCTGCCTAGGCTGTCAATCTATGATCCTGAGATCTCACCCTCCTGAATAGCTAGGATTACAAGAGTAAGCTCAGTTTTCTATTTAAAGGAACGACTTTGTGAAGATTAGTATGTTTATAATCAGAAGTCTTCTTCACACATTATTTTTATTAGTTTCCATTTTGGAATGTTTTCAGTAAAAAGGATTTATCTGTAAAACATGTAAGACCTTTTAAAGGTATCTAAGTTATTTACTAGTAGTTGGTTAATGTTAACTTATTAAAATATTTGAAAATAATATTTTAATTTATCTCACCTGTATCTGGTATTTTTGATTTCATTGCAAGTTCTCTATAGAATTTATTAAATAATTCTCCAACCTTAAAGTCATCCATGAGTCTCGAACTTCTCAGCATCTGAAATAACTAAAAGAACACAAATTGACATTTTCTTTTTAAAAAAATTATAAAGAAAAGGTGGCTTTACCTACATGTATGAACACAGTCTCTAGGAGTCTCAGGACTCATCTATCTGTTCTCAGAACTCATGATATCTATGTATGTATCATCTATCTCAGGACTCATCCATGACTGGGAGGTTGGACTTGATGAGTATAAGTGTTTCTTTCCCAGATATCACTAACATGACCAGAGCTTTCTAGTCATGTTAAAGCTTATTTGTTAAAACATTTGAAAATAATTTTTTAAATATCAGAATCACAGACCAACCAGGCCCCAAAAAAATGCTAAAACAAAAATGAAAAAAATAAAGAGAAAGAGATGTGAATGAGAGTGAGACCCAGGGAGCAGGGCAATACAACAGTCCCCATCCCACTGCTGTTTCAGGAAAAACTTCATGACAAATGAAAGAAATTATCTTTTGGCAATCCCTCGTAGCATTAGTCTAACCAAAGGAAAGCTGAATAAAAGAGCACTAAATCTCTTGTTTTTCTCTCCATTGTTTCCATTACAATCCAAGGTTTTTCTTTTTTGGGGGGGGTCCAGTCGTGGGGCCTGAACTCTGGGCCTGGGCGCTGTCCCTCAGCTCTTCAGCTCAAGGCTAGTGCTCTACCACTTGAGCCACAGCGCCACATCCGGCTTTTTTCTTTTTGCTTATGTGGTGCGAGGAATCGATCCCAGGACCTCAGGCATGCAAGGCAAGTGCTCTACCACTGAGCCAACTTCCCAACCCAGGTTTTTCTTTTACTACCCAGATAAGGACAAACACTAGCATATTTATTATCAGGTAATGGGTAGGAAATAACATCTATCAATCAAAGTAATTCTGCTCTTCCCTCTCCACACTCTTACCAAAAACAGGATTCCCAGCGTTTTCTTCCATGAGACATATGTGTAAGACAAAGTACATTTATTTGAAAACAGGAAATTACCTTAATAAGAAGATCTAGGGCTGGAACTTTACATTTAGCGGCTCTGTCTTTTGTATAAACACTGGTACAAATATTCTGTTTTAAAAGAAGACAAAATCATCTGTAGGATTTAAGAACTGAGACTAGCAAGAGCTAACTGTATATCCCTGATTTGACATTAAGATGTTAAATTTTAACATTAGAATATAGAAAAGTACAGATTCAAAATAACTGAAAACACTGACTCAATACACTATGGTATGCCAAATCCTAGTGGTTCATGCCTATAATAATCCTAGCTACTAAGGATTGTACTTCAAAGCCAAACCAACCAGGAAAGTCCTTAAGGCCTTGATCTCCAATTAAGCAATGAAGAGTCACAAGTGGTAAAGCAGATAAAGCTGAAAGACAGGGCCCAGGCCGAATTCAAGACCCACTACTCACACAGAAACAGACACAGTCATCAAACACATACAAACACACTATCACACTATTGTAACAAAATATCAATGATAATAAAAGACACCCCAGCAGATTTTTTTTTTACACAGAAAATTTAAAGACAGATTATCTGCCAAGTACTAGTTCACACCTGTAATCCTGCTACTCAGGAGATTGAAATCTGAGGATAGCAGTTGAAAACCAGCACGGGCAGGTAAGGTTCATAAGTCTCATATCTCAAACTAACCAACAAAAAAGCTAGGTAGTGGAACTGTGGCTCAAGTGGTAGAGCACTAGCCTTGAGCAAAAAGAGCTCAGGGACCATGCACTGGTGGCTCACGGATGTAATCCTAGCTACTTAAATGGCTAAGATCTAAGGATCCAGATTCAAAGCCAGCATGGAAGGCTGGGAAGAGTGGTAGAGTGCTTGCTTTGCATGCATGAGGCCCTGGTTTCGATTCTTCAGCACCACATAAAGCAGAAAAAGCCGGAGGTGGCACTGTGGCTCAAGTGGTAGAGCACTAACCTTGAGCTGAAGAGCTGAGGGACAGTGGCCAGGCCCAGAGTTCAGGCCCCACGAAAAAAAAAAGCCAGCATGGGCAAGAAAGTCAGTGAGATTTGTCTGTAATTAACCACCAGAAAATCAGAAGTAGAGCTATGGCTCAAAGTGATAAGAATACTAGCCTTCAGCAAAAAAGTTCAGGGACAGTGCCCAGGCCGTGAGTTAAAACCCTCATGACCTCAGAAAGAAAAGCTCAAGGATCAGGCCTGGGCTCAGAGTTCAAGTCCCATGACACACACACACACACACACACACACACACACACGAAAGGAAAAAACAGGTTTTTCCCTACATATGTCCCACAGTACTTGTTATCATATAGAAAAAAAGAAACATGCTTCTCAAGAGGCTGAAGTGGGAGGACAGGCTATGTACATAAGTCTGAAGGCAACCTAGGCAACATGGAAGGAAGGAGAGGAGGGAGGAGAGAAAGAGGGAAATAATTTAGAGAGGGAAACAGGGAAAAGACGAAAGAGATGGAGGAAGGGAAGAAAACGGAGAAGGAGAAAGGAAAGAAAGGAGACAAGATGGCAGGCTAAAATAATTGAGAAGTGCTAGGGGGTTACAGCTCAACGGTAAACAAAGGCCCAGAGTTTAAGCCTAGTATTGCTGAGGAAAATTACTAAGCAAGCAAGCAACTATACATTGGTTCACACCTGTTGAGGCAGCCCAGGCACAAAAGCTCAATACAATAGTTTATCAACCTAGCCATGCCTGCCATCACAGCTACACAGGAGGTCTGACTAAAAGAATGACAGTCCAGGCTGGCCCTCGACAAAACCATGAAACCCTATGTGAAAAATAACTAAAGCAAAAGAGGCTGAAGGTAGGGCCCAAGTGACAGGCACCTGCCTAGAAAGTACACACCCTGAATTCAAACCCAAGCTTAAAAAAAAAAAATTCAGAGAAAGGATTAGGGTTGTAACTCAGTGGCAGACTACTGGCCCACATGTATGAGGTTCTGGGATCATTCCCTAGCACCTATTTCTATTATTACTCCTGATAAGATTCTTACTAAGATAGACAAAAATTCTAAAGAAAAAAAATTTTTTTGGGGGGTGCAGTCATGGGGCCTGAACTCTGGGCCTGGACGCTGTCCCTCAGCTCTTCAGCTCAAGGCTAGCACTCTACCACTTGAGCCACAGCGCCACTTCTGGCTTTTTTCCTTTTTGCTTATGTGGTGCTGAGGAATCAAACCCAGGGCCTCATGTATGCAAGGCAAGCGCTCTACCACTGAGCCACCTTCCCAGCCCCTAAAGAAAAATTTGTAATTGCTTAAAAAGATGTATAATCAAGGCTGGGCGCCAATCGCTCACACCTGTAAATCCTAGCTACTCAGAAAGCTGAGATCTGGGAATCCTGGCTCAAAGTCAAATGGAAAAGACAAATCCAAGAGTCTCTTATCTCAAACTATCCAGAGAAGAGTTGGAAGTAGAGATGTGGCTCAAACGGTAAAGCACTAGCTCTGAGCAAAAAAGCTAAGCAAGGGTGCAAAATTTGAGTTCTAAGTCCCATTACTAGCATATACACATACACACACACACACACAAACACGCACGTGCGCGCGTGTGCGCATACACACAAAAATACATTTCAAAAATTCAATTTATTATGATAATATTAGCATTATTTATCCCATGCACAAATAATTATCCAGACAGTTACAAAAATATCTAAGTAGTTTCTCTGACAGGGTTGCATTTCACTAAATGTAAAACAAATACAGAGAGCTCACTTCATTTCTCACACAAACCAAAAATAAACTCTCCAATAACAGAGACACTAATAAAATTTAAAATCTAAGTTTCTTACATAAAGTAGAAGTTGATATTTGATGAAATAATGTTTGTATTCTTTTCTCCTTACCTTAATATCAAGAGAATAAGGCATGACCTTTTCGCCAACTTTCTCTAAGAAAACACATAAAAACTTTAGGGCTTCTTCTCTACAATCACGAAACTATAAGAAATAAACACAGATAATATGGGAAAGAATAAGTTTCAATCAAACATAAAGGAATATACATGATGTAAAATGAAAAAGCAAAAGATTTGCACTTACGTCATCAATGTTAAGTGATTTTCGAACAAATACAAGCAAACCAAAATCTTTGGAAAAAATTAAGGAAGTCTGTAATGCTAAAGAAAAAAGAAAAGATAAAGAAGTTAAGAGAAATGTCAAGAAGCACTTCACAAATAGCCGCTAAGATTGCATGATTTTCAAGACAGACTTGTGACAATATACTAACCTACTGAGACAAAGAAAAGGGAAAGTTCTGGATGAAGGTCCACAGGAATTCAATAAAAAAAATAATGGGACCACCCCCAAAGACTCCCAGACTCTTCATCTCTAAGGTCAAATTTTGGATATAAACTTTATATGGTGAAGGGGGAAAAAAAAATCAAGGTTCTAAGTAGAATTACGGCTGCTAATAAGTTCATTGTAAAATGGTAGGATCATTGTGGAATAGCTGGGCCTATAAAAGGGAAAGAAGTTTGGGCCAAGGGGTAGAGTGTCATAGCCCTGTATGAAAAAACCAAGTGAGGGGTTGGGGGGGAAAAAAAAACAAGTGAGAGCAGAGGATCTGAGTTTAAGCCCCACTACTGGCACCAAAAAGAAAAAGAAAAGGAAAGACAGTAAAAAGAATGTTTTTAGACATCAAAACAGAAGAGCAGGAGAGATTTAAACCTCTCCTGATTTGTCACTGTGTTTGTTGCTTGACTTTGAAGATGACAAGGCCATGATCCAAGGAAAATGGGCACCTTTTTGAAGCAAGGGACATCAAAAAGAAAAAGGGAACTTTATGAATAAAGAAATGGCGCCTTAGAGAAGGAAATCATTCCTGCCTAAACCTTGTTTCAGGCTTGGTGAGATCTATGTCCAGCTTCTGACTATAGAACTTTAAGGTTAGACGTCAGTTTAAAACCAAGTAAACCAAGGCCAGCATAGTGTGCATACCTATAATCCCAGTACTTGGAAAGTAAGACAATAGTGAATTTAAGGTCAACCTGGGCTACATAGGAGACCATGTCTCAAAAAAGCAAAAACAAAGAAAAAAGTCACTAAGCTTCCAGTAATCATTACAGTAGTAACATCTCTATAATGTATAATCCCTAAACATATTGCATACTGATGATAAACTTGGAACTGTTTTAGGGACAAGATACTGAACAAGAATGAATTCCAACCCTAAGGACAGAGGCAATTACATAATGTTAGTTTATACCCTGGACAATACTTGGACACTTAGGTACCTTTCTGCTGTTTGTCTTGCTTTGTGTGCAAACTTGTAATAGAACCCAAGACCTGGCACAGGCTGGGCAAGGGATCTACCACTGCCCTACAGTGCCAGCCCTGTATGGCATCTTGCTTTATAATTTTTGAAGAGTTTTAAAGTTTTGTTTACATTTCTACACTGTATTCAGCACCCATCTCTTAGGAAGATCCCACTGAATTCATCACTGTAAGAGGGTACAATCTGTACATAGAAAGGTCTACATTCTTACATGTTTAAAATGCACTCACGTTTACATTTCCATACAATGCCGTGTTTCATTTTTTAAAAAGCCAGTCCCAAGTTGATGGCCAGCCTGGACCATAGTGAAAGAGGAGGCATCTCCACAAACGGGAAGGAAAAGGAAAAGTTTCCCTCGGGTATAGTTCACGTTAAACAAACAAAACAGCAGCACTTTTCAGTTGTAGGTCTGCGATCGTTCTCACGATCGTGACCAACAAAGCAAGAGTCTGGAAAGGTACTTGATGGTCCAGGCGAGGTCAGATCAGGCAAGGCGGACCTCCTCAGACAGCCTGAGCCCGGCCCGCCTTCAACAAGACTGCCTCAATCGACGATCACTCTCCCTCGACCTTAGTTTGAAAATACCTTTGTTCTGAGGCTAGGGAGGAGGGCAGCATGACAAACTACTCTGGGTGCCCCTCGACAGACTGACATTCGAGGGCCAGCCAAGCCCCATTCGCGGCGCCCACGGAGCAGACCCGGGCTGTGGAGCGGCGCCCTGGCGGCTCGGGGACGGAGCCCATACCCACCCTGCACCGCGGGGCTGGTACTCAGCACGCACTCCTGTCCCAGGCCGCGGACCAGCTGATAGCTGGCCACGGCCGCGGTGCCGTGGTCCGCGGCGGACAAGTAGTCCTGCAACTGCAGCAAGGACGCCCGCACGCCGCTTCTGGAGTCCGCCATGACGCCGCGCTCCGGCTTCCGCGCACGCGCGGTGGCTCCCGCTGCCTCGGAGTTCCCCAGGGCGGGGCGGCGGGCGTGGGAACTTCCGCGAGGCGCTCCTGGAAGGCTGGCCCGAGGGGAGCCCACGGGGCTACCGAGTCGACGTTCTAGTTCATCAGTGCGAAGCACGTAAGGCGTGGACGCTGTACACCGAGAAACCCAAAGAGGAAACCAACGGCTGGACCCGAGGAATTAGGGAGGAAACTAGATGATGGACTTCATCAAATGCCAGGGGCCTAGTGCTTCCGTCAAGAACAGGTTGTTTGATACAAAGTGAGATTTTCACTTGAAATGTCGTTAGGAGTTAATAATACAGCTTGACTACTAATAGTAATATCGCTTAATTAGGTACTGAATGCTGGCCAGGCAAAGTCAAAGGGAGGCGCTCCCAAGATTTCCCGCGAAAACTCCTTCCGCAGGAGATCAGACCAACTGAACTGAGGGGAGGGCAGAGCGAAGCTTGCCTCTGCTTTCCGACGCAGGCTGTCCATTTCCCCCTGCGGATGTTCAGTGGTACCTTCCGGAGGCGGAACCTCGCGCTAGCGCCTCTGTGATTGGAGAGATGCCGCCGGGGGCGGTGACGACCGTGCAGCCGGCGGGAACCTTCCTCCCTGTTCGCGCGCTTTCACGGAGACGGTCCGGCCAGGTATCCCCGGAGTCCCGTGGTCCCTGAACTTGTCGGAGTAAGGCAGCCTTGCTCCAGTAGCTGTGCTTCGGCAGCCCAGCGGGAGCGTCCGTGGCCTAGGGCTGGGAGGGCGAGCGCCGCTCGAACCTATCCTCGCGCAGACAGCCCGCCATCATGTCGTCCCCGGCGTCAACTCCGAGCCGCCGCAGCAGCCGGCGCGGGCGTACTACCCCTACCCAGACGCGTGAGTCTGCTTTCCCTCCCCATCCCCCTTTCCCGGAGGGGGGTCTCCCCACTATTCCCCTCTGTTCCCGCCGCTTCCTCTCCTGGGTGCCTTGGGCTGCTGAGGTTCCCCGGCCCCCTCCCGGGTGTGGGTGACCCGCGTGCGCGCCTGAGCGGACGAGCGGACGCCCCAGAGTTCAGTCCCCCCCCCTTACTTTGGGTGCTTAAACATGCCCACGCCCTTTTGCCTCCAGTGTTAAAGTGTGTGTCTTTCTCACTTTTGGATCCAAGCGCGAAGTGAGGAAGCCAGGTCCTCGCCATCTCTGAGACGCAGAGGCGAGGATTCCACTTCCACGGGAGAGTTGCAGCCCATGCCCACTTCACCAGGAGCAGACTTGCAGAGCCCTGCCGCTCACGATGCCTTGTTTTCCAGTCCTCCTCAGATGCATTCTTCAGGTGAGTGTCTAAAGATGTAGGTTTACTGTAGATGGTAGAGGTAATACATCTGGTCAGATTTGCAGGATTGTTGACAGTAGTTGACCTAATACCTAAGCAGTTCTAGTGTTCAAAAACTAACTGATACACAGTGTCTTGTGAGCACAGAAAGCATATATTGTAGTTTCCTTAATAGAATACTTAATCTTATCTGTCAAGAGTGGTGTTGAGATGACAGATCAGACAACATACATACTACAGTTTAGAGTTTATGTGCTACCAAGATTTCAATGTCAACTTTCACATCTTGTTTTTATAGCTATTCCTCTGGACTTTGATATTAGCTCACCACTGATATATGGAACTCCCAGCTCTCGGGTGGAGGGAACCCCCAGAAGTGGTGTTAGGGGCACACCTGTGAGGCAGAGGCCTGACCTGGGTTCTGCACGGAAGGGTCTACAGGTGGATGTACAGTCAGATGGGGTGAGTATGGGCACAGCCCTCTAATAGCTTCCTTTTTAAAACATAAAATGGGCTGGCTGTACGGGTGACACATGGAGGTATTTTCTACACAGGAGCTCATTATGCACCTAGAGGGACAGGTGACCACCTTTCCTAATAAATCCAACCTCTCCATAGCCTCCTTCAAAACATGCTATTCCAGAACTGTTTTAAGAATTCAGGAAGCTGGGTGCTGATGAAGCTATTAATCCTAATTATACTCGGGAAGCTGAGTTCAAGCTTTAGTACCAACATACACGCACAAAATATATATGTGTATGTATGTACACATGTATACACTGGGTGCTAGTGGCTCACACCTGTAATCCTAGCTACTTAGGAGGCTGAGATCTGAGGCTCCTGATTCAAAACCAGCCTGGGCAGAAAAGTCTGAGCCTTCAGTAATAAACTACTCAGGAAACAACAGAAGTGGCACTATGATTCAAGTGGTAGAGCACTAGCCTTAAGCAAAAGAAGCTCACGGGCAGTGCGCAAGCCCTGAGTTCAAGGCCCAGGGCAGACAAAAAAATATATGTATGTATGAAATACATAATTCTTTTAATTCCATGGTTCGATCATTTTTTTTGTAGGCAGCAGCAGAAGATATAGTAGCAAGTGAACAGTCTCTGGGACAAAAACTTGTCATCTGGGGGACAGATGTAAATGTGGCAACATGCAAAGAAAATTTTCAAGTAAGCTGTGTTAAGCGTTATTAATTATTTTAAGGCCTTGAAAAGCTATGTGTAAATAGCTATCATCCACCCATTAAGCTTAATATGTTTTTCTCTTCACATCAAGAGATTTCTTCAGCGTTTTATTGATCCTCTGGCTAAAGAAGAAGAAAATGTTGGCATAGATGTCACTGAACCTTTGTACATGCAACGACTTGCAGAGGTAATCAAATGTTACAACATAAATTAAAGGTTTATACTATATAACAACAAAATTAGCAAAATATGACTTTCATTTTATCTTACAGATTAATGTTATTGGGGAGCCATTTTTAAATGTAAATTGTGAACACATAAAGTCTTTTGACAAAAGTTTGTATAGACAGCTCATCTTCTACCCACAGGTAAGAATTTGGCTTTGACCTGGTGAATTACAGTAACTTGCTATAAGAAATGTTCTAGATAACAGAATGTCTTTGGTAACAGTATGCCAAATGCTTTTTATTTGCCTCTTTAAAAATGACTTTTTCCCCCCACATTTTAGTGTTTCTCAGAACAGCAAGTATATGCTGTCTTTAAGATGTCACAGTTGAGTTGGCAGTGTTTCTGAAAATGATAAGACTCTTAAAAAGACAATTTCTCAGGTTTTGTGGAGTAAATTTTATCTTTTTTGGGGGGGGGTCCGGTTGTTGGGCTTGAACTCTGGGCCTGGACGCTGTCCCTCAGCTCTTCAGCTCAAGGCGAGCGCTCTGCCACGTGAGCTACAGCACCACTTCCGGTTTTCTGGTGGTTTATTGGAGATAGGAGTCTCACGGTCTCTCCTGCCCAGGCTGGCTTTGAACCGCGATCCTCAGATCTCAGCCTCCTGAGTAGCTAGGATTACAGGCTTGAGCCACCAGCGCCCGGCTTGTCCCTCAGCTCTTCAGCTCAAGGCTAGCACTATACCACTTGAGCCACAGCGCCACTTCCGGCTTTTTTCTTTTTGCTTATGTGGTGCTGAGGAATCGAACCCAGGGCCTCTGGCATGCAAGGCAAGCCTTTACTAGCGAGCCACCTTCCCAGCCCCGGAGTAAATTTTATCTTGAGGGACAATACTTCATACTTAGTACATTTCTATTATGTTTATTGCAGTTATTACATTATTATTACATTAGTACATTTTTTAGCAAAGTATGTTAGGCATTACTATAGTCTTTATTTTGGAACAAAGATCATATTTTATTAATCAAATATAGGTATAGACTGTGACAAGCAGACTTGAATTTTGATTCTTTTCTGTTTAGTAGTCATATATACCCTCAGCCAAGTTCCCAAAAGCTGTTTTTCAACATACTGAGAGGACCATATTAAATTTGGATGGAATGAAGTTTGATCATCTATCTTAGTATCATTTTATGGAGAAAGAATTAAGATATGAAAGTATGGGCTTAAAATTCTTTTCCTGGTATGGCTCACACCTGTAATCCTAGATACTCCGGAGGCTGAGATATTAAGGGTCACAATTTGAAACCAGCCCAGGCAGGAAAGTCGGTGAGATTTTTTTGGGGGGGCGGGGGGAATTGTTTTAGTGCTTGAACTCAGAGCCTGAATATCATCCTTTATCTATTTGGCTAAGAATAGTGCTCTACCACTTGAGCCACAGCGCCACTTCCGGCTTTTTTCTTTTTGCTTATGTGGTGCTAAGGAATCGAAACCAGGGCCTCATGCATGCAAAGCAAGCTCTCTACCACTGAGTCACCTTCCCAGCCCCTCGGTGAGATTCTTATCTCCAATTAACCACCAGAAAATTGGAAGTAGAACTGTGGTTCAAAATGATAAAGAGTGCTAGAGTGCTAGCAAAAGCTCAGGGACAGTCCCCAAGCCCCACAACCAACCAACCAACCCCCCCTCCCCACCAAAAAAAATCCTTTTCTTGGATTTTCCCAGATGAAAAGTGTGATATATACCTGTATATCCAGAAGGCGCTTTCATGTACATCACTACATTTAACCTAAAACAAGGCTTCAAAATGGCATATGTTCCAGAAATAGGGTGACGCTTTGGTGTTGTGACTTGTTCTTTTTTTTTTTCTTTTATTCTTTGTTAATATAAACTGTTATTCCTTCACTCTATTTCAGGATTAGAGGCATAGCAGCATCTTTATGTTTGTTTTTTAGGAAGTTATCCCAACCTTTGACATGGCTGTCAATGAAATCTTCTTTGACCGTTACCCTGACTCCATCTTAGAACATCAGATTCAAGTAAGACCATTCAATGCATTAAAGACGAAGAATATGAGAAACCTGAATCCAGAAGGTAATGTATTTAGTAATGTGAGAATATTTCACATGAAAATACACAAAGCTTTATGCTATAAAGGAACTTGAAAAGACGGATGATGATAATGAGGGATTATAAATTTACAAAATAATACAGATTGATTTCTCCTATACACTTTTGTGAAAGCATTATACCTTTCTCTAACAAAACTAAATATGTGAGCTGGGCATAATAGTATGTGTATAATCCAGCTAGTTGTGAAATACGGACCTGGTAGTCAATAACAGCCTAGGCAAAAGTATAAGACCCTATCTCAGAAACAAAAATAGACTGGAATATAGCTTAAGAGGTAGAATGTTTTACCTTATATGAGACAATGTGACTATTAACAGATCTCTACTTTAAAATAAACTTACTCAAATGTAATCTGTAGTCCTTAAGTAGGAGTCTTCTTAGTCATTGTAGGAAAAATACTGAACATGACTACCACCCTTGAGTTTCACAAAGAATTCTAATTTGAGGAGAAGTAAATGAAAGATGGAGCAAGCCAGAGTGCCAGTGGCTCACTCCTTTAATTCAGGTGACTTGGGAGACTTGAGACCTGGAGGTTCATAGTTCAAAGCCAGCCCAAGTAGAAAAGTCTTAGGGCTCCATCTTCAACAAACCAACATCTGCCCAACTGGTAGCGTGGCTAAAATGGTAAAGCTTCAGCCATGAGGGAAAAAGCCAAGCAAGAGCCCAAGGCCTGGACTTCATCTCCAGTGGTGACAAAAAAAATAAAAAGTACTAAGTAGATGGATTTTGGACAGGTACAATGGTACATGCTTATAATCCCTGCTACTTGGGAGGCAGAGGCAAGAGGATTGAAAGATGGAGACCAGCTTGAGCAAAGGTAACAATGAGACCCTGTCTCAATAACAAAAGGGTGGGACATAGCTCAAGTGGTAGAACACTTGCCTAGCATACACAAGGCCATGTTTTGAACCCACAACAAGTAAGATTAGTGATGATGAACGTTTAAGAAATCAAGGGCATCTGATCTCTCTCTCATCATAGACATTGACCAGCTCATCACCATCAGTGGCATGGTGATCCGAACTTCTCAGCTGATCCCTGAGATGCAGGAGGCGTTCTTCCAATGCCAAGTGTGCGCCCATACTACTCGGGTGGAAATAGACCGTGGCCGCATTGCTGAGCCCTGTGCTTGTGGCCGCTGCCACACAACCCACAGTATGGCACTGATCCACAACCGCTCCCTCTTCTCTGACAAACAGATGGTATGTGACAAGCAACCCTGCACAGGAGTTTGGAGTAGGTAGCTTCTAGACACAAACTTCTATCAGTGTCTGAACCCTCAAAAACTAAACTTGTCAATCTAAACCCCTCAATCTTCCTAAATGACATCTCCTTCTGCTCCTTGGATGGTGGAAGTTTTATTATGGAGTTGTGGGCTGGAATAGGTACAGGACATTAACAGCTGCTTTTATGGGAACTCTTTAAGACTGCCTAATGTTCTTTAAGTTAGAATATGTAAAACAATTGAAACCAGATCTGACTAAATTCTATTGTCCTGCAACTGTTCCATTAAGAATAGAAAATGTCGGGCTGGAAAGTGGTAGAGTGCTTGCCTTGTATGCATGAGGCCCTGGATTCGATTTCCTCAGCACCATATATAAGCAAAAAGAAAAAAGCCGGAAATGACGCTGTGGCTCAAGTGGTAGAGTGCTAGCCTTGAGCTGAAGAGCTGAGGGACAGCGCCCAGGCCAGAGTTCAGGCCCCACAACCAGACTCATAAACAACAACAAAAAAAAGAATTTGAAAATGTTGTAAGTTTTTCTCACAAATTTTGTCTAGGAAGTTTGACCTTTTACCTCTAGAATCATGAAAATGTTTAAATGGCATAGAAATAAGCAGAGGAAAGTCAGAAATTCTACTGTAATCCATAAAAATGTGCATACAAATCCAGGTCTGGTGGTATATGCCTATACTCTCAGCTACAAGGAAGATGAAGATAGGATCCTGCTCTAAAGCCAGCCTGAGCAAAAAGATAGGTCTCTACTAAAAAAGAAAAATAAGGGCTGGGAAGGTGGCTCAGTGGTAGAGCGTGCTTGCCTTGCATGCCTGAGGCCCTGGGTTCGATTCCTTAGCACCACATAAGCAAAAAAAGAAAAAAGCCGGAAGTGGCGCTGTGGCTCAAGTGGTAGAGCACTAGCCTTGAGCTGAAGAGCTGAGGGACAGCGCCCAGGCCCAGAGTTCAG